CTGCACAGAATTTGGGTGCATATTTTGGTTAAAAACACAATGATAGGAAATGTATATTTGGGTATGTTTGATCAATCATAGTGAAAGTGTATATTATAATTATTCATAATAAAAACAACACTTTTAAGTATTAAACATTAATTTTGAGTATATTTGAGCAATATTTGGGCATATTTGGACAATATTTAGGTATATTTGGGTATTTTGTGCTGCCCCCCTAATAAAGGGTTCAGTTTGACGCTAACGGGATGTTGAATGAAACTTATCATATTTCACTTGTGGCTACCGCCACTAATGAAATATTTATTTTCATACCACTCAATGAAAATAAATACTGATTTTAAAGAAAAAAAATGAACATCCTCTATTTCCCAATTCCATAATTTATATGCAAATGAAAATCTGGATCAGTTCTGTCATGTACATTATGTAAAAAAATCTGCATGGTTCACTGGTCCAATGTAACTGAAATATCCCTCATAATGATTCAAATCCACAGCTGTGAGGGGTCAACAAGCTAAACAACTTGGCTGAGAGCCCCTGTTTTGCATTAAAATTACACATTTTATAAAATAAAAAGAAATACCAAACACTTAATTAAATAACCGCTTACATGAACACTAAATAAACTTTAATGCTTGCAAATACATGTATTTTTTTAAGTCAAGTGTGCATACTTGTGAATAAATAGTTTTTAATAAGTTTATCAAAGCAGGTTAAACAGCATCCCTCAAAATACAAACTTATGCTAATTTTTATGAAAATCCTAAAAATGAATTTAACTGCAATATATTGTGAAGTGAACAAAAAATATAATTTATAAAATTTGCATTATAAACAGTACTTATATTCCACATAAATTACCAAATAGGTCTCAGATCAAAATAAGCAAAAAATAGACCTAGGACCTTTAACACTGCCTTTAAATAGCAGAGTAGAGATATGATAGTAAATACTGGCACTACTGCAAAATCAGTCGTCCTTAATCATAACATGTAAATTATTATATGTACTTGTACATAATTGTTTAACTTTTTTTCTACAATTATATCAAGTTTGATTTCCTTGAACTTGTGGCATAAAGCTGGAAGGGCCAATAGTGTACTTTAAGCAAAATAACAGTGGGCCATATTTATCTGGCCGGGCCAAACCGGCTTAACAAGGGCTGCATGCTGTTGAATTCAAAATTTATTTTTAGTTCGAATATATGCACAGCTGTGCTACTCACCCATCCGTTGGCATCAGTTCTGTTCAGTTTAGTTGTAGTAATATAATTTTTACTTTGATTTTTCATTTCTTTAAGTATTAACATTTACTTCAAATGTATGTTCCGTATCATCACTCACATAATATTGGACTCCAATAATTATTCTCAATTAATCTGAAAGGGACCATAGATTAAGGTGAAAATTATCGCTAAATTTTCCAATTTGGTTACAAAAACAGCTGGTATAAGGAAAACCGCATTATTTCAAAGAAAAATCCAGTTAGACTCTAGCATCAATATTTCTAGATTTATCTCCCCTTAACCTTAGTATTCTATATATCTTTTACTCTAAACATAACTTCTTTTTTAAAGGGATATACTTCAAATAGCAATAATAATTATAATCTATGTCTGTTAGCCTAGGCGCTACAGAAAAGAGCTTTTATTCATGAAAAAAAAATAAGTAAGTGGAACCGATTCAACCCTTGTTGCTTAAATTTTTAAAAAACTGCTGCATATTTTTTATTTGTGTTCTCTCTACAATCCCTTTTTGGGGGTAGGTTTCCAAAAAAGTGTGCTTGGGGGCAGCGGCCTAAAATGAAAAAGTTTGTATTTTCAAAAGTGGCCGAAACCAATTCAAATATTTCAAATCTTTTCACAGGCAGAAACTAGTTCACGCATTATTCAAATATATAGGGCAAAAGTATTACAGTTTTTGGGAAAAAAAAAAATTTTTGCATCTATCCTAAAATAAAAGACCGCAGCAATTTTATTTACCCCAAAAAAATCCCCCTAAAAAATTTAAAATTTTGGGAAATTTTATGAAGGTTAGCATACTCCAGAATTTGTCTGTTCCGTTAAAAGTATCACTAACACGCATTGCAAGCTATTGAATTTTCGAAAATGACCAATAAAGTGTCTGTCATACGTTTAGATTTTTCACAAAAGTTATCCAAAATTTCTTACTTGATTGGCACCAACTGTCAAACTTTTTCACCTCCATTCAAAGAGTCACAAATACATACAGTTTAGCTACCAAATTATGCTTAGATTCAGGTAAAAATCGAAAATACTGCTAATTTCCTACACACAAACAGGAAAAAATACAACGAGAGAGAAATATCAAAAGTTTCCAGTACCTTCAAAACACCATGTCTGAGTTTATAGATTTGACCGGGGCAATCATTCGGATATATCCCTTGCTCCCTTTAATAACTTCATAATCAGTTCACTACCACTATATTATGCTAATATAAATACATTTTATCAGACAATATATCAGTAAACTAAAAGGGGCCATACCTCTTTGTTTCCAACTGTTTTATTAATGAACAGAAAACAGGCTGGTTGGTTAAAGTAAAGAAACGATACATTGAGCTACAATGTAACCTCCCATTTCTTAAAAAGACTGACATGTTCAGCACATGTAAGCATTCATAAAAACTAACATAATTTCAACAATGCGTGGGACTATAAGATTCTAATATAAAATATTAAAACAACATTACCTAGATCAAATCTCTTCGATATTCAACTTGACATCAGGAACGAGGGATGTCGAAAGACTGCCAATGATTTGGACAATATTTCATCCACACCATATCTTGTCACAGCTAAATAAAAGTAGATATCGTAAGAAATGACTTAATGCTCATGAATAAAATAAAATAAAACTAAAGAACTACATTTTTGATTAATTAATGAGCTTCTTAAACAGGTTTGCAAAATCGGTCAGCTAATCCTCGTATAAAAGCCCAATATGTTTATTCAACGTAAAATTCGAGTTTCAAAATGATTGATAAACTGTACTAACATATCTACATTAAAATCTTTAATTGATATATATTCTAAAAGTTTTAAAAATTTATATACTTTGTTTTCCTATCGTTACTACTTTTTTTTATAAAAATGCATTTAAAGTTAGCATTTGCCATTGCAAAGTGTGTTTTTGCCATGTCATTTCGGCAATTCCCCATGGCAAAAAATTGCCATGGCAAACGTAGAAAAATCTTGCCATGGCAATTGTTTGTTTAAAAATCTCGAAACATTCTTCAACTTATCATTTTATATGTTAGTTGTGCTATTGTTATCTTTGTATTGCAATCTCGATTTTTTTTCAGCATAAATTTGCCATTGCAATTACATAAAAGTTCTCCATGGCATTTAATCATAAATACAAAAATAATGCATTGAAATGTAGGATGTTTCTGTCTTTTAAGTAAGTTTCATTATTTATTACATGTCAGAAGACATATTACAAAAGAATATTTTAAGGTTTTATAGTTTACACAAGGAATATATTTTCTTTTCTTTCCAACCACAGGTCATATTAATAAAAAATAATTGAAAATGACAACAAATATTAGATCAAGGATCAAATATAACTATTTATGCTAAACTGGGAACTAAATAAAGTGGAATTTTGAAAGGGTATCAGAGGTATCAGAGGTTATGTAGTCTGTATATCCACAAATATGACGTCAACACACAATTTAAAAGGCATGACATATATCCTAAGGGTGATTCAACAGTATTACTGTAACCACCCAACAAAAAATAGCCAAAAAGAAAGAAAACAACTTTAAGGATCAGAAATGTAATATTCTATAATGAATGTTAGTGCCATTTCATGAAAAGTTATATCAGAAAAGACCTATTATAACATAATTATGTATAAACATGCAATACTACTATTGCTATATCTCTTTAAAATTTTGGGACGCATTCCGTTTGTCCGTCCTTAACAAGTTAAACAACTGATGAAATTTCAACTATTAAGTGGGATTTCAACCAATCTTTACAGGAGTAATCAGTACCATCCCTTGTTGTGCGCGTTACCGCCACGCTTCGTTTCGCTGCACAAACTGGCCACCAGAGCTAAAAATAGAAAAATATGTCTGATATTCACAGGTTAAACTACTGTTGGGATTTCAAACACACTTTTAAGGGAGTGATAAGTACCATAAGTTGTATTACACAATAAAGGCACGTTCCACTTTGCGGCACAAAATGGCCACTAGAGCTAAAAATATAAAAATTGTGTCCGGCCTTTACAAGTCACACTACTTATTAAGGGATTTCAACAAAACTTTACAGGAGTGATCAATACCATCCCTAGTTGTGGAAATCACTTGCAAGTTCCGCTTCGCTGCATAAAATGGAACCAAAGCTAAAAAAGAACAATATTGTTCGGCATTCATGTGTAAAAAAACTACTGGTGTGATTTCAACAAAACTTTACAGTAGTGATCAGTACCATGGCCGCAAGAGCTAAAAATAGAAAAATCTCGTCCGATCTTTACAGGTCAAATCACTGGCGGGAGTTCAACCAAACTTTGCAGGAGTGATCAATACCATTCCCTTTTGTGCACATTACTTGCATGTTCCGCATACTGAACATTCTTATCATGTGAATGTGCATTTTAAATCATTATAGTATTAACACCCAGTGGTGGCCCTGGCAAGTACATTTCAAACATTTCCCATGGCAATCTATAGGGAAAACACACACAATTGCACAACTTTTTAAACTAAAAGCCATTTTAATCACCCAAGTCCACAACTTTATCATTATGACCAAAACTATCATATTTATTAGGTCGTCGACGTTATCATCACCATCATCACTATAATACTCATCACTTGCTGATTCAGAAATTATTTTGAATTTGTAATCAATCAGGTGTGCAGCATTTTGTAATACTGGTTATCGAGTTACGAAAATCGCTCTGGTGAACAGACCAAAAATGTGTTAAAAAATGGTGAAGAAAGAAAACAAACAAACTATAATCATATCCAAAATCATTGCACAATTATCTGTATTCTGCAATTTCCATCATACTTATATCATTAATATATAGAATAAATATGAAGACTCAATAGACATCATAATCACCATTATGGCTACTATCTCAATACACATAGACTTTTACTCTCGTAATTTTTGTCATTATCATTATCATCCAAACAAAAATAATAATCATCATCTTTATTTCCATCATCATCTTAAATGTACCATTGATTTAACAATTTTCTGTTAAAATATTCGAATGTTGTTCATTTATTACGTGGTGAAACGATAAAGTACTGACTAGCTGCTAAGGGAACACATTTTTGAGAAATCGTTTAATTGTGTTTCTAACGCGAAAGAACCTCCCATTAATTTATTGTTCCAAAACTAACAACTACCTTTATTAGCACATTAGCGTAATGTTATATACTCGAACACATCAAAAAATATAAAATAATTACTTGTTTGGCTTCAAACTGAAATGACTTTTTCCTAAAGAGATTATCCTGAGAGTGAGAATGAAAATAAATATAAAAGCCTTCTATCTAAAGTTTAACTATTTTGATTATGAAAAACCGTTTTGTATAAATTGAACGTGCAATTTTGACATCTGTAAACTACTGGTAAGGATATCATTCATTTATCTTGGTCTTTATGTAATTTCATACACATTCAAATTGTTAATAATGTGTGTACCGATAGAAGTCAAAATGACTTCAGATGTTGCAATAATTGTTTGTGACCTTTTATTCTACTACACATTTGTAATCGAAAACCCACAGAAAATTCTATAAGGGAAGTTTTTAAATATAATATGTTAAACATCATGTTTATTTATTATTTATTATTGGCAGATTGGTTAATCGCGTCAGGGTTTGCCAAGAAAGCGACCACCTCCAAATTAGATTGTGGAAATGGAACGTCAATAAGAATTATCTTTGACAAAACTAGCAAATATATGTCACCAATTCCCACAACAGCTTTGATACAAAGTCGTACCTACAATTATCTCCCACAATCTCAATTACGCAGTTAGGTGTCCTGGATAATTATAACGTACGACTGCTATCTGCACTATCTCCAATAAGTAGTCATCAAAACTTCAATAACGAAAATGAACTGATAGTTGCGGATAATATTGAATTGTTTCAATTGCCTTGTAGTTATGAATAATCCAGAAATACCTGAGATGAAGCCGAGTATAAGAGAATATATCCACTTTTCGTGGAGCTATATTTCATCTTAAGAATAAAAAATAACAATTATCCACATGCTGATATACTCGTATAAACAAATACAGTAATGTACGGAATTCCGTAACGGCGATAGTGCGATGGCGACAATGCGATAACGTGATGACGACATAACGATAATGTAACAATGCGATACAGCGATGGTAACAATGCATGGCACCTATGCGATGACTCAATGATGACGGTGCGATGCGATAATGCGATGACGACAGTGCGACATCGCGACGGCGACAGTGAGAAAATGTGATGACGACAATGAAACAGTGCGATTAATCAGTGACGACTGTGCGATATCGCGATTGCGACAGTACGATACTGCAATCGCGATATCGCATTGTCGACGATGACCTTCCGGTACAAATGCTCACATCCTTTTTGTATCGGCTCTAAAATGATGACGAAATAGAATAGGGGGACATATTTATGTTTCTTTTGGGAGATCTTTTTGTTCTTTCTTTTTTGTATGTTTAAACCGTCTAAATAAAATCATAGATTAATGATAAGTAACATTTCTGATAAGTAACATTTGAAATAAGTGAAGTGTTATACATACACGGAAAATAAATTGTGTAAAACTTTTATATAGTCGAAATATTTCTGATGAAAATAATGTTATCATTACATTTAAAACATGCAAACAATGTTTGAAATAATTGTTTATTACTTATAAAAAGACAAATTATATTCAAAGATCATTTTACAAAAATATGTACAAAAATAAAATCTTGTAATGGAAAATGATAAAGTTGACTGTAAAAATTTAATCAGTCTGTGTAAAATAAAAAAAAATATTAAATTTTAAATTTGTAATTGGTCATCAGTGATTTTATTATTTTGAAAAAAAAATCCATGGAATTTAACAATAATTCTGGATCATTGCTATAATTAAGTGATTTTTTGAGTGATTTACAATGTTGTTCGGTGTTCATAAAAATGTCCTGCATAGATTGTGTTAATTAGATTTATGATGGATGTACAAATAAATAAAAACCAAAAAAAAAACAAACAAAAAAACCACAGCGGTAGGAAGAAGTTTGTGTTCTTTAAATGTTTTGTTTAAATTCTATGATAGCTTGATAGCTGTTATATATAATCAAAACACAAACGTGTAGTGATAATAAAGATAAATGAGTTGCATCTCTTAATGTTCTCTTCACAAGGTAGAATGTACGTGAACTAAATGTATCTGTATCCCGACGGTGTCACATTTCTCAATTTGATCTGTCCCGGTCATAACAGCACAGAACGAGGAACATCACGAAATCCAGTTGTCCTCGATTTATGCAGAGTGGACTGTACGTATATCAACTTTTATATACTGTTTACTTTACAGAGGAGAGATGTGAGACAATAATTTATAAAAATCAAAGAAAACATATTTATATACGATTTCGATGTGGATTCTTAAATTAATGTAAACCTCTTAGAATCTAACTCAACTCTTGAGTTTTAGTTCCCCGTATTGATTGCTGGATGGAGTTATCAATCAACATAATTATTAAGTAATTATATCATTGTTGTTTTTATTCGCTAAACAGTTACTCTTAACTGTCGGTCTCCATAATAAGGTATTTATAAACTATTTGGTTTTATTAATATTGTTTAAAAGTCCATTAAAACATTATAAAAGCTTCAGTCATACTGTTATTTTAATAGATATTAACTAAGAAATAGTACACAGCGCAGATGGAATGATTGCTGCGAGGAAAGAAATAATATTGTTCATTGACAACAATTCTCGCTTAATACATGTAATAAAGCGTATTGAAAAGTATTAAATACTTGCAAATATAAATGAAACAACATTTCTCAAATTCAACATCCTGACATGATATTTGTGACGCGACTGTGTTGATGATCAATAAATACCTTTAAATTATCAATGACTGTATGTTTATGTTTGATACAAAATAACTACATGCATATTTATTGTAGTATTGTTCGTTTGTTTTTTTGGGTTTTACGTCACATCGACACAGTATAGGTCATATCGCGACGTTCCAGCTTTACTGGTGGAGGAAGACCTCAGGTGCCCTTCCGTGTATTATTTCAGGCACGAACGGGTACCTGAGTAGAACCACCGACGTTCCGTAAGCTAGCTGGATAGCTTTTCCTCACATGAAAGAATCCAAAGTCCCTGTCGGGATTCGAACCCACAGAGGTGAGGGGCAAGTGGTTTGAAGTCAACGACCTTAACCACTCGGCCACGGACGCCCCCTTTATTGTAGTAGTAGTAGTAGTAGTAGCAGCAGCAGCAGCAGTAGCAGTAGTACTTATGAGTAGCATTACAAAAAATTCAATTTTTGTTTGTATATTACAATTTGAACTTTGAAATGCATTATTTGAATTTAACAAAATGTGCTAATCTAACACAATGTGTGTATTTTATTGGCTCACAACGCATTTAAAGGGAAGTAAACCATTTTATAACTTGTTAGATGTATGCGTTTTCTCTTTGTTAAAAGTTAACCATGTTAAGGGGTCTGTCCACATTGTCAAATGTGTCCATAACGAAGAATGTTTTTCTTTATCGATAGGAATATTCACACACACGCAAACACTTATGCAAACATACATTGTAATTGAAATATTATATATATCTTAATTTTGTAGTTATAACCTGGCTATCATTTAGTTGTATCAAAAATAAATTGTCGGATGATCCTCGCAAATAAGCAGCATATTTACCAAATCCACTATCAGCTGTCAGAATAAGAATGTCACAAGTTGAAAGAAGGTATTGCTCAATAAGTACATATTTCAGTCCATCGCATGCTTCTTTCTCATTATGTTTGTGTGTACCAAGCCGATCCACATGAATAATAGGGACATCAATATGTATGCCATTTTTGAAAATTTTCCAAAATTCACTACGGACATACAATGAATCTGATGCTAGGTAAATAACATACTTATCAGGGTCAGTATATCTTTTTAGATATTTAAAAACGATTGTTTCATTTGGCTTCTCAAACTCACCAAAGGCATTATCCTGTGGAATGCTTGGGTTTTTCCCTACCCTTATATGACAACATACAAGATATTTTTCTTTCACATTCTGGTCAATAAGATTATCGAGGAAACTCATCAAAGTATCTTTTGGCTGAAATAATAAATTCAGAATCATATTGTAGGCACTGGGTATTGACATGTTTAACAACCACCCGTAATTTGTTCTTATATCTTTAATTTTTCTGAGTTGATATATTAAGTTGGAATTAATCTTAACAAATACCACTTTCCAATGCCAAAGGTTGAAACGAAGATTATTCATATCAATACCCATCGAAGATTTATTCATCATATCAATTGTAAGGGCGTTTTTTTCATTTTTAATGAACCTTTTACAAATAGTCCAATCATAGACAGTGGGTTTAAGAAAGTTATCAAGCTCACACGGTTTCTCAAAATCAATAATAAATACTCTAGCAGTGATTAATGCGAGTATAAATGATGAAACAATCCCGCGCTGCCTATCGCCCATTCCACCACACGACCGCGAGTAATCACAGCTGTATACCAGAAACGTATGTTCAGCACATTTGCTTGGGTCTGTCACAAACGTATTTGACATGCGAATTTTACTCACTTGTTCAGTGTAGATAGATGACGAACGCGTTCTAATATTGCGGAGACGGTATGTGTAATTAAGATATGATGTCCTTTTGTTGTCATCAAAATCTATAGACGGTTGCAAAAATTCCTTGCCGTGCTTTATGTTATGGGGTTGATAATACATCAGTCCCAGCCATACTGAACAAATGACCAACAAAACAACCTGAAATGGGAATATTGAAACAAAACAAAAACATAACGATACATGCAAACATTTCTGTTTGTTGTCGAAACATTTCTAAATATAACATAATTTAACATTTTATTTATATTTGCCATTATAAATTTGATATTAGTCACCATGGAATAAAAAAGAAAGTATAAAAACAAAATATGAAGAAAATGAAATACAAATAAATGCTTTATGAATTAATAATTTGAATAGTGTCTACTTAAATTTAATATTTGCTTTAAGTTACACTGACATATAAAAATCATTTTGTTTTTAAATCTGCAAGAACTACATTGAAGGTTTCTTCAAAATCGAATGTCCTATCTTTTTTATTGCTCTTGTTGTTCAAATATAAACAAAACATATGCTAAATAGAGACATTTATATATTTGTATTCTATTTGTATACGCTTACGAAAAATATTTTCGTTCGTCATAATATTAATCGAATATATGAGGATATTCGGCAATTTCAATAAATATATAGATAAATGAATATAAATGCATCAAAAAAAAATATGATAATAACAATATCAGTTTATTAACAAGAAGAATGAACAGATAAAAAGAAACCCAGAAAAAAACCCACAAAAATGAACAACAGAAAAACAAAAACACTGAATATTACCTTTTGAACAAATTTCTTTTGATATAAATTCCTTAATTCACCGTATGTTTTAGAACATTTAAAAAACAACAACAATAGGATCCCTTAAGAAAGTCCAAAACGGCAAATGTTTCATTGAGGATATGCGCCTGTCTAAAAAAAAGAAAATAGAGATCAGTTCAATACTTAGCTTACTAATGTATATCTCCTCGCTTTGAGAACCATTGCGTGTGTGAAAAGTATTTTCTATATTCAGTTATATGCTATGTTTACTATATGCATATGTCACGAGCCATAGTCACTGAAGTATGAAATATAAAATTATCGAAAAGGAATGCTAATTTGCCAGCAAATGATAAGGGCAACGCAGACTTAGTATAATACCGATGTTCATGTATTCCCCAGTGCATCTTCCTAAATTCACGTTTGTAAACGATATATTTTCTCTCTGTCTGTTATTCTTCAATCGTAATTTACAAAAATTAAAAGCAATGTAATTAAATATATAAAAGGAACATTTCAGACTAATGGAATAAAATAATGACAACAGTGTGTGTATTTTAAACCTTTCGCTGCCAGAGTTTTATTTATTTATTGATCACTTATTTGCCAGAATGTTTTCTAAGTCATTACTTTATTATTAATTAATATAATTATTATTATTTATTATTAGTATTATAATAATTATATATTCTTCGAAATCTGCTAGTATAATAATAATTATTGTCGATGGTATAATTATCTTTATATTTAGTATTATTATTATTATTATTATTATTATTATTATTATTATTATTATTATTATTATTATTATTATAGAAACGGCAAAAGCCGTCCGTCTATATGGCAAATACGCCGAAATATGCCGTCCTTATGGCAGTGAAAGGGTTAATATCTTTTAAACAAGTTTCAAAGAAGACAAAGAGTGTTAAGAAATGCTTATAGTACAATACACTGCCAAATAAGTATGAAAGAGAGAGAAAAGAAATGCATGAAAAAGGAAAAAAATGAAGAATGAGAGACGAAAAAATCCAAAAAGAAAGAAAAGCTTCGGGTGAGTCATTAGAGATAGTATTTAATTTATAATGATATTTCCAAAGCTAATCTTTAGTAAATTATATACGAGAAATGAATTGAAGGGAAAAACAATTAAACATCTAAAGGTTGTGTTTTTTCGGGTCTGTAAAAAATAAGTTTTTTTTTTAATTTGACCATTTTCTTCAAAATTGTATAAATTTTCTTGTTATGATATTTTTTTATTTTCAATTTTAATCCTTTAAGAGAAAAGTGACATTATGTTTTCAAAAACGTGTGTATTTTGCCATATTTTATTTTATCGTATATGACATTTTTAAGCAAATTTATAATAATATTTACAGTGTTTGTTTACCAAAACAAACCTGTCTTAAACTTAGAGGTATTTCATAACCTTAAGATAATAAAAATGTTTGGATTTGTTACATAAAACTTGTGTTTTTTTATATCCCCATACTATACTCACACAAATGATAATTTGCATTGGAGGTTTGAGCCCCCTAATGGGCACTATAAGAGACTATAAAATTGAAAATATAGGTCAGTTATATACCTTAAAAGACATAAAAATGAAAAATTTAAACAAAGTTTACCGTATTGATTATGGGTTATGGAAAGTTTTCTTAAGTAAAAAGTGTCTTTTTCAGAAATGAGAAACTCTAGATATTCTCTTTTACGAGGGTTGTCCCAATATTCTGTGACAAGATTGTTTTAAAGCTAAATAATATAGGTACGAATTTGATATTTTAATATGTTATAAAACCATATAATTTCAAATTTTCACAAATTTACATAGAAAATTATCAACAAACAACAAAAATATGCCATAAACACCATGGCAACTAACTGAATCGCGGCGCACGTCAAACGTCAAAGATGACGTTAAATCTATATCAGACGCCTTTCTCAAATACTCTCAATGGCTTTCAACGCAATAATGATACCCATAAATCGTCCATTACAGACTTAAATTATGTGGTTGTTAATGTCTGTTGCATGTTTGAATGACATACATTAATTTTTGCTATACGCGAACTTCCGGTCTCGTTACACCTGTTTTTAGCTATACGAAATAAGCGACGAAGATCAGTCTTCCTATCCGTGTTTTCCTTATTTTCGCTTTTTGTAGCGCAAAACTCTGGTTTCGTTCATGCCTTTAGTAAACAAATGCTCAGGATATGTTGCTCAACTGTTCTATTTGGTATATTTGTTAAAAATCGTAACATGTGTTATCTCGAAATAGTCACGAGACCTGAGTGCCTGTTCACTGCGCTGCAAATTCTTAGAACGTCGTCATTTTAACTTCCTATTTTATATGAGATATTTTCATTTATTCGTATCTTTTTCATTTCTTAATTTATTTAACTAAAATTTTCTGAGATGATGTAAACATACCAGCAGAGGAAGTCAACGTGACATTGTGCAGACACATCAACAGATATTTGAAATATACGTAATTAATTTTAGCCTATTCATAACAAAATGCAAATTATTTGACTTATTTGACGTGCGCCGGCAACTCAACCTAATGTCTTTCATACTGAAAATTTCTATGTAACTATTGTGAATATTTTGTAAATGATTTGTTGTAATGTTAAATAATAAACTTAACGGTTATATGTGTGAATTATTTTCTATTGGCGTTAAAAATGAATCGTCTATAAAATTTGTCACGGACTTTTGGGACAACCCTCGTATAATCATTATGAAAAAAATGTTTTACTATAAAACATTTTTAAGAAACAAATATCTTTAAAATATGTATATAAATGTTACCCTAACCCACCCATTTCAGGCAGTTGTTTGATACTCCTTCTACTGGGATAGTCTTATTCAAAATATCCCTAAAATTTACTCAAATCAGGGGTTGTTTTCAAAATTTGCATACATTTTTTTTCAAAAGCATATTGGTTGCGCTTGTCATATATAAAATGCTTTACCGTCTAGATTTTATTTAATTAGACTTTGGAAATATCAGGTATTATATTTGATAATAAATTTGACACAATTTTGCCAATGAATACCAATAATAATTTCATAATTGAAATGAAAAACTTTTTTCCTCTCAAGAGTTATCTGAAAGACACAAATACTGTTCAAAGAAAAAAAAAGAAAGAAAGAAAGTTGCCTCTTCTGCGGCTTGAATCCGCGCCCCTGAGTTAAAATGCAGTTGTTCTAGCTTATTTGAATACTCTTCAAAGTGGAAGCAATGCATTAGATGGATCATACCTTAAAATGTATTATACATGTGTTTGTTGGGATTAAACGCATTTAGATTTTGTATTGAAAACTACGGTTGATTGGTGGCGATTATACTTAAAATATATGTCGCAGGGTATAATTTTTCTACACTGGATATAAACAAATTCTGAGTGTATGTTTGATGTTTTAATATAATCCAAATATACATGTTAATTGTCTGAAAGGATAATATAATGATTATACATCTTACAAATACAATACATAAAAAGCAAAATACAATGAAACAACAATATATTTAAACTCAAGAAAACCGTTAATAAATCTTAATAATACGATTCCTTACCACCGCGTCTGTTAAAGTAAACATTCTTCTAATGTAAATTGAAATAAGTAAACCCCAAAAAAGCTAAATAAACTATAATGTAGTATACATAGATCAATTACATAATATTTAACGTAAGAACGTCCGACTCGTAAGAGATGACAATTGAGAGTGAGAGGGACAGAAAAACAAACAGTGCGCAAAAGTTGAAGATATTCAAAATAACCAATTGATATATTTCTCACATCAAACAAAACAATTGGACCAAGTACAACACAGAAAGAGTGACATGTGTTTACGATATTGCACGGGTGAGCTCGACAAGTGCATCAGTGACGGAAATTGTCCTTTATTCACCGATTTAAGTTAAACATATACGGTTAAAACTAAACGCAACCGAATATGTACGAGCGTGCACGATGTTTCCGCCTAAACAAAACTATGGAAAAACACATCTGCCATTAATATATAAATTCAATCTGTGACATTCTCCCCTGTTAGGAGATAACAGTTTGCTACATCTTATCTTACCTTCCGAAATCTTATCGCATGTTAAAAATACATTTAAATTTAGAATAACTGACCTATTTAAGTAAATTTCACCAATAGTTTTTTAATAATTAAACTGAAATGAAATTTCAAATTTAAAAACCAAAATATTCCAAAAAAATTCCTGAAGTTAAGATACTGAACATTTGTACATTTTCTATCAATTAACAATTGCGAAAAAATACATTTTCTAAAAATGAAAATATCAACAGTCATTTCCCAATTATCATATACCTACAAATTGAATAACAAAATCCTATCGCATGTTAAAAATACATTTAAATTTATACTAACTTAGCTATTTAAATAGATTTCAGCAACAGTTTTTTAATAATAAAACTGAAAAGAAATTTTAAATTTAAAAAACAAAATTTTCCAAAACAATTACTGAAGTTAAGATACTGAACATTCGTAATTTTATCTATCAATTAACAATTGCGAACACAATACATTTTTTAAAAATGAAAATATCAACAGTAATTTTCCAATTAGCATATACCTACAAAAACACATTTTAAAACACATTCTCTATCCCAGTTATGCATACTGAAGTAGATATAATAATTACATGAAGTTGAAAGTTTACTTCAGGAGTAATGGTATGGTTAAGACACATAACGGAATTTAGCAAGTTAAAGGTTCAGCACTTTTGTCAACATTAAAGGAAAAATATTCAAGCATAACATTTTCAGAAACACAAAATAGTCAGATAAAATGTAAACAAAAAATGAATTTAGCATAAATTATTAAAACAAAAACATTTACTTTTCGTGTATTTGTTTTTCTTTCGAAAATATAAAATGCAAATTGCATACACAGAAATAAAAATTATTCTTGATATAGATTGCATGTTTAAGCTGATTATTTATAACTATTGTGTAACGTAAAACACAAAATTTAAGTCAAAACTGAAATATAATATTTAAATAATTTATTTGAAAAAACAAAAGTCATATCTTATATGTGGCATTCTCCCTTGATCTAAAAAAATGAGAATACACATTAACACAATATTTTTTTGAATTAATATTTGCTGTGATCGGTCTAACCTATTTACCATATAAATA